TGATATACAAATGTGTCGAATAGCCTTCTGATATAGATTATGTCTTAAAACTCTGAAACAGAAAAAAAAGAACTAATGAAGAGATATGATAGCAAGGATGCATGTAACGTCAATCGAATCAACGTTCTTGGCAACTAGGCACTAAGGACAACGATAGGAAAGATCACGCTCATGTGTATCGGCAGGTGTGCTTGTTGGTTGAAGAAGGAACTAAGCACAACCTGGATACCATGATGGTCGCTGAGATGCATGACACATAGACGGATGGCATAGTGGCTGTTATAGACAAAACGGGGAAGGAAATTATCATATGTGGACAGCAGACGAATACTGAATGCGATAGGAGCTAATATAACTTTCTGTGGCTAGAAAACTTATGCTGAACAGCTGGTGCATGCAAAATGCAAGTAAAAAGTCGTCAAGAAACAAGTTCAGAACATCAGAATTATAGTAGGCTAACAATTGTCATCTTCAGGCTAAGGTGAAAGCGTGCAAATTCGCCAACACCAATCGACACTCGGTGTTGCGTGGATCACAGAATGGGAAGCAATGGGCCGTGTACAAGAACAAAATTCGTCTTTCAGATGACAGCAGTGATAGTGTCATCCAGAAGATAAACTTCTAATGAGCAATGATATGATGAACACTGCGTTCATCGCAGACTAACACTAGAAACTACACTAGAGACGAGTTAAATATAGGAAAAAAACGCATACATGTCGACATAAAAACGAGAAAATCGCAAAGAGATAGAAAGAAAGAGAAACAAAAACCAGCATAAAATTTTGTTACAATGATTTCGTGCAAATCGAAACGAAATTAGAGCAAAAAAGAATACTGCTTGAATTGTTGATCCTAGACTGAATTGTACACCACTATTATATTATTAATAATGCCTCGAAAATGAGATAATCTTGAAAGCTCCAGTTCATACGCGTTTGCTCATCGACGACTGCGGAGGTTGCGGAGCCTCCAAGATCTGAATGAAAGTAAATAGCTACAACGATGCCAGCACGAAGATAGTAACTAGTAATAGATACCCACGATTCTAATTAAGTTGTTCTAAAGAAGGAACGCAAAGGACCTAATTAAAGCTTGTCCAAGCTCAAACTCTCTAGCACCCACACGCGCTACAAAACTACAACCCAAATCATCACTCTCACCTCGACGATGAACTTTGCCATGCTAAACTGTTTCTCGTCCCTAGCACTATTGAGAAAAGGCATGGCCATAAGCTCGGGATATTTTGGTCGTTCATGAGGATCCTTCTCCAAGCTGCAAACATTCGAATTAAAGCGTATATACGTTTAATTCAACTAACCAGCGTTTAACGAAATACTGGCAATCGGCGGAGAATGAGCCGTCGGACGGCAACCGCGGAGCTGGTTCATTGACAACCTAATAACAATACACTTCTACGACAACTTCCAAGTCTAAAGTATGAGAAAGGTACCTGACTAAGTTGCTGGAAAACATTTACCCAAGTGTGATACGGATAGTTACCAGTAGCTATTTCGACCTGAATATGGGCAATTACAAATCCAAGTCAATCTTCCCATGTTCCCATCATGACTTACCAATGTTATGCCAAGACTCCACACGTCTGCCCTAACGTCGTACGAGTCTTTCATGTCACCTTCAATCCGTTCTGGTGGCATATAAAACTTGCAACCCGCAGCTACTGTCTAAACGGATTCAAGATAGGTATGACATCCTAAAACGAACAAAAAAGCTCTCAAACCTTGGCAAGACTGTTTGTGAGGTGTCCGGAAATGCCAAAATCACAGATTTTCACTTGACCATGCCGATTCAACAAGATGTTTGACGGCTTAACATCCCGATGGATAAGGTTCATCTCTTCTTTCATAAAATTCAAGCCTTCCACTACCTTAACAGAGCCTGAGATAGGTAAAGAACTGACTGATACGAGAGGAACTTACAGACAATGTGACTTTGGCGATGAATGGTTCCGGCAATTTCCGGCCAAGGGCAAAAACCTTCTTATAGAACTTATCTAAAGATGTATCCATAACTTCCATACAGATCCATACATCACCTTCTCGAAACATAGCACCGTAAAACCGCACCATCTGGAAAAAGCACATAGGCATGCAAAGCGTCTATGTAACCAAGCGTTCGCAGCATCTTTCACTTTTTGCTGAGCTTCCATACAAATACAGGTAACATTTGCTGGGACATACTGGACATGTTTGTACTTCTGTCCTTACCGCTAGCAGCAAATTCATTCGTTGGGCTTGAGTGTAAAGGAGAAAAGATGAACTCGAACTACCCTAACCTGAGGACAGCAATCACTCCTCTTGCATGCGTCCAGTTCGGTCAACATTCGCTTCTGAGATTCGTCGTTGATGGAGGATGAGATTCGCTGAGAGAAAGTAGTCAATCTAGCTCAAATTTCAGAGAGCTCAGAGAATATCCCCACGATTTTTGGGACAATACTGATGTGTAAGCATCAGTATTTGCAAAAGATCAAGAAAACAGACTAGAAGCTTACCTTAACTGCCATAATAATGCCCGATTGTCGATGTCTCATCTTATGCACTACCCCATAGCCGCCTTTGCCTAACTCTTCGAGAACCTGAAGAATACATTGCCACAATTCTCAAGAAAAACTGTTCGTTCCCAAAATGAGACCG